TATACGTTAAATAAGGAGTTTTCCTGAGTTTTCCAGGAAGGGGATGGGCAATCGCCAGAACTGAGGGTTCCTCCCTTTTTAGACCATATAGGATAACTTCCTGATGTTGCCATGGTATTTGTAAACTGTCATGGTGCCGATGGGGGTGTCTTTTAGCATACTAATGAGTTATAATTAGTGTATAATGAGCAGTGAGCATGACCAGGGGTGACTTTCATCAGCATCTTGGTTTTGGTGGATTTGGGCTAGCTTCTTTTGCCTGGCTTAAGAACAAAATCTGCTTTATCAGCAAAATCTTCATGACCTGTTTTTCCAACCTCCTATCTCTTCCTGTGACTTAGAATGCCTAACTTTCTGGTAGTGCATCCCAGCAGGTCTTAGACTTATTTTACCCAGCTGCTGTTTGAGATGGAGTTGCTCTGATTAAAACATTTCTGATCCTATCTCCCCTCTCCCTTTTACAAGGGAACCCTTAATCCTAAGGGTTGTAGAGGGATGAATATCCACCTTCTCTAATTTCTTCAGTCTGAATAATGACGATGATATTTCAGCCTAACTAACTATTACGGTTTCTGGTATTTAGGGTAGAGAGGAGCTCAGTCAGGAAGTGTAGGTATGGTAAGGGCCATTTATAACTGGGAGTTCAAACAACAGGTAATATCTAAAAGATTAAGTTCAATTTAAGAAAACATACAGTAAGCTTATAACTGCATTCCTACACAAACAGTACAACAGCAATATAATCCACAATGGTAAAGTAAAGTAAGCAAAAATTACCCAAATGAAATAAGAAGGCATTCCATTAACTGGGCATTTGTTGAAAGTAAGCAGATATAAGGTCACTAGCTGATTCCAATGTGTGCCCAGAATTAGAATATTGATCCAGATATTTATATTACCCATCCCTCTTATTTCTTCTGAGCAGTAGCCAGAAATCAGTGGTTGGCTCATAGGAATAAGCAAAGCCCATCTAAATTCAGGAAAAAACTTAAAAAACAACTTTTTGAGACTAGAATCTAATAACAAATGTACCACAGTTCTTGTAACATATTTTTACTCTCTCCAATTTCCCATTTTTACTAAAGACAAATCATGTTAGGAATGATTCGTTTGCAGAATAAACTGTACTCATTATACTTGGCCTGA